ATTTGGTCCCTCCACCGTCCACGCTCCAACCATAAATAGTGCATTTTTGAAGGTCTTCACTCATATCCTCTCTCTCTCTCTTAGTGTGTGTGTGTGTTTTTTGTATGGCTCAAACAACTCCAAACCACACACAGACTGTTTCAGGATGGGCAGCTCATGAACCCTTCGGCAAGATCACGCCGTATGTTTTCAAAAGGAGGTATGATATACAGTGCCTGTCGGACGCACTTTAATTTATTTTATAGTTTATTACAAAATCATTTTTAACCGTACATTCACATAATAAAATATTTTATATATATATATCAAAAGTTTTTTTTTACTTTTTAACCACACGTTATCCTTAAAATCACTATATTTTTGTCAAGTAATTATATTCACACGCTATAAAAGTTTTTATTATTTGCATCAGGTTTTAATTGCAATAAGGTCCCTAATATTTGCACACTTGTCCTGAACTATTTATTTATTGCATTTTTTATTCATGATCTTCAATTAATTTACACATCTCGCCTGAGATGACAATTTCTTTTCCAAATATTTCTGTTGACATGCATTGAAATGATGGATAAATGTTTTGTCGAACTTTTGTATTTCTTGTTTATTTTAATTATTTACAATTCAAAAGGCAATTAAGTAATTTTATGCTCCGTAAAAAAATTTCTGGACGGAAATAATCATCAATGACAAGACGTGCAAATTAATAGAAGGCTGTTGATAAGAATTTGACCAAAAATATTGAGGGTATAAATTCAAAAATGAGTAAAAGTTAGATACATTCTTTGAAATTAAATGTGGTGTAATTAGCAAAAATTATGGAATGAATATAATTACACTTTTTTGTTTTTGTTTTTATTTTAATTGCCTATGTTAGGCTTAGCCTTAGAGGTGGTAAAATGTACCTTTCACGTTACATTTTAATAAAGATCTGGACTATTTTGACCTTAAGAACTAGTAATGCAATCAAATTAAAGTTTAGGACCAAATTGTTTCTTTTCTAAAAATTTGGGGATTAAATTACTGTCGAGGAAATAGAATGAGGACCAACGATGTAGTTTTCTGCATACAAGTCAGAATATTAATTTGTGATTACTGAATTTGTGCTTCAATTTGATTCGGGTCATGGGATTTATAATATTTTAAATCAAGTTATTCATCTAAAAAAAGTTAGCATCATAGAAATCAATAACTTGACAATCGATAAATTGTTTTCAAATCATATTTATTACCACGTCAACGTCTATATCGTTAATTTGCTTGCGAGCTAATAGAATTGGATATTGGATGACTCGACTGAGTTATAATTTTGTTGTGACAAAATAAAGATAAACAAACCATTCAAAATTAAGATACAAGTTCTGTGACATCTTACACTATTTTTTACTATGTAGTTTCACAACATTTGTGTAATATATAAGCTTAATGTTTTGTTGTGATGAATGATAATCAGAGAAAATGGAGACAACGATGTTACCATCGAAATTCTATATTGTGGGATGTGTCATACAGATCTTCATTACATCAGAAATGATTGGGGCATCACCATGTATCCTGTTGTTCCCGGGTAATTTCTTCCTATCCTTCTCTTTTTTTATAAAAAAAGTAATTTGACTAATCGAGAGGGAAAAAGAAGGAAAAAGCTTTATAATCATGTTCATCTAATTAGCTTAAAAGGTATACTTGCATGTAAATAAATAAGCACTTTTTTTTTTACTAAAAAAAAGTATAATTAAGCATATTTGGTAACACTCTAGACAACAATTATAAGTAGATTTTAGCTTTATTTTATTAATTAGTTGTATACTGTCGAGTCCTGCTTGCCGAACGTACAAATAATGTTTGCTTCTATGGTTATAGGCATGAAATAACTGGGATAATAACAAAGGTGGGCAGAAATGTAAGCAAATTCAAGGTGGGGGATAGGGCAGGAGTTGGGTGTTTGGCAGCAACTTGCTTGAAGTGTGAATACTGTAAAGATGGCCAAGAAAACTATTGTGATCAAGTTCAGTTTTCTTACAATGGCATCTTTTGGGATGGCAGCATCACTTATGGAGGCTACTCAAAGTTTCTGGTTGCAGATCATAGGTGAATGTATATTTTACTCAAACATAAAATAAAAAGAAAAGATGGAGTTCGATACTACCACAAAGTCTCTAATGGCCTATTTGGCATGGCTTTTGAATAGCCAAAAGGAGCTTTTGAGATCCAAAAATCGATTTTGGACTCATTTGGCAAATTTTATGAAAATGCTTCTAGCAGTTGAAAGAGCTTTTAGAGGAAGTAGATCCTATGTGACTTCCTCTAAAAGCATGCCAATCAGACCCTTTCGTCTTAAAATTCTCGGGTGAAAGCTCGAACTAATTTTATTTTCTTGAATTTATTCTCGACAGATATGTTGTTCGAGTGCCGGAAAGCGTGCCGATGGATTCAGGAGCACCCCTATTGTGTGCAGGAATAACTGTGTATTGTCCCATGAAAGACAACAACCTATTGGATTCACCTGTGAAAAGAATTGGAATTGTTGGATTGGGAGGCCTTGGCCATGTTGCAGTGAAATTTGGGAAGGCATTTGGGCACCATGTATCAGTAATCAGCACATCACCATCCAAAGAGAAAGAAGCTAAAGAGAGATTGGGTGCAGATGATTTCATCATAAGCACCAATGCTGAACAGATGCAGGTTTGTTTGAGAAGTTTAATAAGCCTTTAAAAGAAAAAATTTAAAGAAAAGCATTGACTTCATATCTAACCAATTACATGCTTAACCGAAGTGGTGCAACATCGTATCCCAGATATAAAGCTCATGAATTCAAATCTCTTTGCTACCCGTTTATGAAAACTATCCAACTAGAATAAAACATTAGCATGGGGATGTAAACCTAGGATTGCTAGCCAATTTGCAATGCCTTTTTTAAGAAAATCATAGGAAAGGTCAAAAAACTAAAAAAATGTTACGGGATGTTGTCTAGAAAGGCACGGTGTGAAACCGTGTATACGGGTCATATTAGGCCTTGCACTATTTTTGTTGAAAAATACAATTTGTATTTCCTTTGCATCTCTTCGTTGGAAAGATTTTTGGCCACTTTGAATATCTATATCACAACTTAGATCTAATTTAGAGCACAATTAGAGATTCTCTAATCTATCTATTTTACACGTCTATGTAATTTTACCCTTGCACTTGAATTTTTTAAAATAATTTCTTCCTAATATTGTGCAATTTTATTTATATTTTTTTCTGCAGTCAAAGAAAAGGACCCTAGACTTTATTTTGGATACAGTATCAGCCAAGCACTCTTTGGGACCACTATTGGAGTTGTTGAAAGTCAATGGAACTTTGGTGATTGTCGGTGCACCTGATAAGCCTGTGGATTTACCATCCTTCCCCTTGATATTTGGTAATTAGGTTTAACCTCTCTTATAATTTCTTTCAGTTTTTCTCTAGAGAAAAAAATATTAAAAATATATATCAAATTATTTTCAATAATGGTTTAAACGAAATTTAGCCAAAATCGTTATCTATCTTAAACTGTACAGGCAAAAGAGTTGTGAAAGGTAGCATGATAGGAAGCATAGAAGAGACACAAGAAATGATGGACGTGTGCGGAAAGCACAACATAACATGTGACGTTGAGATGGTATCCACAGATCAAATTAATGAAGCTCTTGACCGACTTGCAAAGAATGATGTGAAGTATCGGTTTGTCATTGACATTGCTGGGAAATCGTCAAATCTTTAGAGCTCATTACACTTGCTACTTTTGCATTTATAAGAGATTTTAGCTTTACATATTTTCATGTGCTCAAAAAGAAATTAAACCTTGAAGGCCGTCACATAATATTATTTATGACAGGTAGTATTATAACCGGCGTCAACACAATTGCACAAATCTTGGAACTGTATTTTTCGATGGTTGTTTTGGAACTATAATGTTCGATGGTTGTTATCACAAATAATGGGATCTATTTATTTATTGAATCGAGTTTTTTTTTTTTTTTTTTTTTTTTTTTTTTTTTTTTTTTTTTTTTTCACCATTCTGCACATGTTATTTCTAAAGACAGCCCTTTTTCTTAAGTACCATTTGAAAAAAAAAAAAAGAAAAAGGAAATTCTGATTTAGGAGTCAAAATATTTTGTGAAAAGAAATCAATATTATACGTTCTAGTAGAAATTCAAAGTAAGAGGGGGAAGGGTTAAAGATTTACCAGTGGGGTTTGAAACCAAACCTCTCCTCAAGAGGATAGATGGGGCAATTCGGGTGAGATCAATATAAGAATTTAGAGTGTATAAAACAAAATGTGCAATGAATGAAGTATAAAAGTAATGTTAACTTTGCCCAAAAGCATATGATGATGGGTGTTGAAGGAAAAAGGTTATGAAAAACAGGAGATTTTACTTATGAAATTTGGGAGTTTTACAATTGAGTGGCTACACCACACTCAATTCTATGTTTTTTTTGTAGAGAATTTCTTACAATTTTCCCATCTCATGAGCACTAGATATATGCCTTCCTCGTATAGAGAAAATGGAGTAATCTAGTCCAAAAAATTTTCTATCATTACAATGGGATAACAGCTATAGTTTATCCCCATTTGCAATTGTCTTCATTTTTATTTGCAGCCGTATGTATTATCTAGAATGTTTGAGCCTACTGCTTGTAGCTTATTTTCAAAGTTCTAGCTTACATCTTTGAATATTCAACTTGAGTATAAATCGAATAGTAAATCTTATCCATTTGACCTTTTTTTAATCTTCCAAAGTTGTTGAATTGTACTAATTGGATTTGAATTTTTTGAAGATTACAAATTAATTTAAAATTTTTAACACCCCTCTTAATTTGTAATTGTCAACTGTCTCTTGAATTTTTTTTAGAACTTATCAATCGCCACTGGCTTCCCAATATGTCCACTGATTGATCGTCACTATTTATAAATTTCATGCAAATTTCTTCTTGATTTTTCTAATCTCTTATAAAGTGATGTCGAAATTCAATATATTTTGACCTAGCATGGAAGACTAAGTTTTTTGCCATTGCAATTTTCAACATGTTGCAATAAATTACTGTTGGTCATTTCTATTCAAATTTCATGTCCTTCAAAATTCTTTTAAGCCAAACTACTTCGTAAGCTGAATCTATAGTAGTGATGTGCTATGCTTCTATTAATGATAAAGCAGCAGATTTTTGCTTTCTCGAGCTCTTGGAAATCACATTTGATCCAAGGCAAAAAATGTATTTAAAAGCGCTCTTCCAATCATCAATAGATCCTTCCTAATCACTATCTATATAGCCAACAAGTTTGCAAATGTTTCCTTTTTAAACTTGATGCCATGGCTTTTGGTTCCTTTATGAAATCTCAAGATTATTTTTGTTACTGCAAAACGTATTTTATTTGGTTCATACATAAATCCGAATAATATGATGACTGAATATGTTATGCCTAGCCTTGTATTGAGGTAAATCAATGAATCAATTAATTTTCTATAAATTGTAAAGTCAAATTTTTTTTGGCAATATCATAAACCTTTAATATTTCATTTAAGACCATTGGAGTCAAACTGGCTTGCACTAACTCATGTGGAGTTTCATTAAGAGATCCTCAATGTACTTTTCCTAAGAGAGAAAAATCTACCCCGGCTTTGCTTTACTTGAATTCCAAGAAAATATTTCATGAGTCACAAGTCAATCATCTCGAAGTCTTTCATGATTTTAATCTTAAATTCTTAGACCATTGCTTTATTTGTGTCGAAGTAGATTAGATCAACCATGTATAAGCATACGACAAGAAATTCCTTTTCAATGTTCTTCACATAGAGTGATGATTTGCTTGTGCCTCGATTGAAACCATTTTGAAGAAAATAGCTATTGATTTTGCTATTTCACACGAGATGCCTGTTTCAAGCCATGTGATACCACTTTAAGATGATAAACTTTATCTTCTTTTTCTTTGATTACAAAACATAGGTTCCTTGACATATACTTCTCTTATATTTCACCATTTAGAATGCTGAGTTTATGTTAAGCTGAAAAATATTGAGCTCCAATTATGCCACTGAATGTAAGACATTAAACCCTACTATCAAGATCTTTAGAATTCATGATTTTCACATATGAATTTAATTGATCAAGAAATATATCTTTATTAATGGCAATAATTGAGAATTTTAGATCTGCAAAATAATAAACTGTTAAATTAAAGAAATCGTTCTCTCACTTTTCCTCTCTTTCATTGAATGAATTAATTGATGGGTTTCATTCACATTTATAGGCAGAGAAAGGCAATCTCCTATGTGCCATAAAACTCTCCACAAGTAGACAATTATAAAACTGCCATTTCTCAATTGGGCCAATAGGATTTTAGTAATATTAACCACCTTTAATTAATTATTTAATATTACATGGGCCACAAATAATTGGTTTTACATCCTCCCACTTGGCCCGTGTAATATTGTTTTGTTATGTGGTATATAACATAATGCGCATACCATTAGCTAAAATCCATCATACATTAGCCACTTCATATATCATCCTTAAGTAAAGACTAATAAGAGTCATGGCGGATTTACACCATCATATAAGCATAATTCCTTCCATGTACTACAGTATTAGTCCCTACCCAACATGACACATAATGAGAAGTTCGATAATTGCATTACAATAATGTCTTCGAAAAGACTATCCCTATCAACATTCACATAATTCATTCACGTACATGTATCAACAGTTATGACAGGAATAATATTTTGTCAAAAACAATACATAAATGAGCTCAAAATGTCAATACATAATCACCATAAATTGCATAATAATGTCAATGATAATTTTCAATAATGCCCATCCTTTCGATATGGTCATTGAATGTCTTTGGTGGCAATCATTTTGTTAATAGATCTGCAATCATAAGATTGGTGCTAATATGCTCGATTGACACCCTTTGTTTTTGAACATCTTCCTTAACGGCAAAGTACTTCAATTCCATGTGCTTAGCACCTTTAGAGTACTTGTCGTTCTTTGAAAAAAAGACTGCTACAGAATTATCACAATAAAGTTTCAGTGACTTGGCTATATTGTCGACGATCCCAAGTCCTGAAATAAAGTTTCGCAGCTAATTTCCTTGAACTGTGGCCTCAAAGCATGCCACAAACTCGGCTTCCATAGTGGATGCAGCAATGATTGACTGCTTCGCACTTTTCCATGATATAGCCCCTCCAGCTAAGAGAAACAAATGGCCAAATGTGGATTTTCTAGTGTCCACACATCCAGCAAAGTCCGAATCTGAATATCCAATGACCTCAAAGTTATCAGATCTCCTATAAGTGAGCATGTGATCTTTCGTTCCTTGCAAGTATCTCAATACTTTCTTTGCAGCTTTCCAATGATCAAGTCCCAGGTTACTTTGATACCTGCCCAGCATTCCAACAGCAAAACTGATGTCTGGCCTGGTGCAAGTCTGAGCATACATTAAGCTCCCAACAAGAGATGCATAAGGAATAGTTGTCATTTGTTTGCGTTCCAATTTGTTTTTAGGACATTGCATGAGACTAAATTTGTCTCCTTTTTGAATTGGAACAACACTCACTGAATAATTTTTCATATTGAATTTCTCTAAAACTTTATTGATGTATACTTTCTAAGACAACCCTAACAACCCTTGTGACCTATCATTGAATATTTCAATTCCAATCACATAGGTTGCCTCTCCCATGTCTTTCATTTCAAAATTTTTAGAGAGAAATTTCATAGTCTCGTATAATAGACCAAAATCATTAGTAGCTAGCAAGATATCATCAACATATAGAATCAGAAATATAAACTTGCTCCCACTGACCTTTAGATATATAGTTCGATCAACGACGTTTTCCTTAAATCCAAAGGAAGTAATGGTATTGTTGAACTTAAGATACCATTGACGGGAAGCCTGTTTAAGTCCATATATTGATTTCTTTAACTTACATACCATGTGTTCCTTTCCTTTAACTGAAAAACCTTTAGGCTGATCCATATAAACTTCTTCATCTAAATTTCCATTTAGAAAGGCAGTTTTCACATCCATTTGATGTAGTTCTAAGTCATAATGAGCTACTAAAGCCATTATAATTCTGAATAGAGACTGGTGAAAATGTCTCCTTATAATTAATGCCACTTTTCTGAGTAAAACATTTGACAACAAGTCTAGCTTTATGTCGTTCGATATTACCATTAGAGTCGCGTTTGGTCTTAAAGACCCATTTACACCCAACTCTTTTACATGATTCTGGTAATTCAACGAGATCCTAGACTTCATTATGTTCTATCGATTTCAACTCATCTTTCATAGCATCTAACCACTTATCAGAATTAGTGCTCTCAATGGCCTGTGAAAATGAAACTGGATCATCATCAACAATTCCCAAATCAAATTCAGACTCTTGCAGGTAAACCACATAATCATCAGAAATAGTAGGTCTACGTTGTCTTTGTGACCTTCTTAATGTTATTTCTTGTGGTTCATTTAATGCAGGTTCATCAGTGACAACTTCATTGTAAGGTGTTTGATCATTTATTTGTTATTCGGGTAAATTGTCACGTCGTTCAACAATTTGAGGAACAACAATATTAGAAGAAGTTGAGGGTAGAGAAACTTGAACTCTAACTTCTTGTATTTCCACATTTCGTGGTTCAAAACTCTCACTAACTTTACCATTCTCAATGAACCTAGCATTTCCTGTTTCACCAATTCTAGTACTATGGTTAGGACAATAAAATCTATACTCTTTTGATTTTTCTGGATAACAAATGAAAAACCACTGATTGTTATTGAGTCCAGTTTCTTTTCATATGGATTATAAATTCTTGCTTCTGCTGGGCAACCCCAAATATACAGGTGCCTTAAACTGGGTTTCCTTCCCGTCCATAGTTCAAAAGGAGTCTTTGGAATTGCCTTACTAGGAACCCTATTTTGTAGATACATAGTAGTCTTTAATGCAAACATCCACAAAGAT